AATAGTAATAAAATAAGTATATAAAATTAAGGAAAAGGTGAGCACCTTTCTTTGACTGTCAAAGTGGTTATTAGACTATAAAACTTTACAACTTCAATTTTAAGATTTAATTAACACAGTAGAGCAAGGGTAACAACTGTCTTTCTTAAATACAAATTTGACTTTACACGCCCACTCAGATCCCTCCAGCGGCTCTCCACTGCCATCAGGAACTGGCTTACAAAGAGGGTGGTGGCAGTGGCTGTTGGAGGCCCTGACCTGGACTGGTTTGTTTGCTTCTGTGCGTTGGTCTCTGTTTCCATTACTTTTACACCCCTTCACACCACACAGGTGGTCACTGTCTCATGCTACCCATGGCTCCCTGGCCTTCCCAGGCCTTCTTCTTCTGGGACCAGTTGATAAAAGTATGAATGCTTTAAAAGTATGGAAGGCAGAAATTATATTTGGCAAAATTAAACAGGCGTGATCTCTAAGAATTTTTGTTAAACTAGAACTATATCAAATCACAGAAGAAAATTTTAAAGTATATCCATTCCAACAATTTGAAAAGGTAGGTTAACCTTTAAGAGCCAAAAACTGTTTTGCTTATTCTATGTATTTCCTGAAGAAAACATAAGTTGATTAAGTAATGAAATCCCTAGTGACAGAGAAGTGACAGAGAAGGCAATGGCAACCCACTCCAGTGCTCTTGCCTGGACAATCCCATGGACAGAGGAGCCTGGTGGGCTGCAGTCGTGGGGTTGCTACGAGTCGGACACGACTGAGTGACTTCACTTTCACTTTTCACTTTCATGCATTGGAGAAGGAAATGGCAACCCACTCCAGTGTTCTTGCCTGGAGAATCCCAGGGATGGGGGAGCCTGGTGGGCTGCCATTTATGGGGTAGCACAGAGTCAGACACGACTGAAGCAACTTAACAGCAGCAGCAGCAATAAAGTGAGAATCACAAATTATTTTCTGCTTTCCCAGAACATATAAATGTTATGCCAAAGTCTATTAAGTGTGGGGTAGCATTCTGTCTAAAAAAACAATGTACATACATACCTTCCTTAAAGAATACTTTAACCACCATCTGAGTCTTTTTGCAATAGCAACATCAAAAATCACTGACCACCATAACAAATACAATAATAGTATGAAAGTTTAAAATATTGTGAGAATTACCAAAATGTGACACAGATGCTGTTGGAAAAATAGTGCCAAGAGACTTACTCGATGAAGGGTTGCTATAAATATTCAACTTGTAAGAAACACAAATTGAAGAATTCCTGGATAATTCCATGGATAGAGGAGCCTAGTGGGCTACAGTCCATGGGGTCACAGAGTCAGACACAACTAGGCAACTAACATTTTCACTTTCACTATATAGAAGGGGGTTGGGAATGGTCCTGGGGTAATTAATGTATGTGCCTAGCAGTTGAGAAAAGCTGATTTTTGAAGAAACATTTAAATAAAGTAAAACATACTACAGAAAAATTCAGCAATTTGCTGTGTGATGAATTTTCACACAGCAAACACACTCATGTCTGATCACTTCCAAGATCAAGAAGAAGCCTTCTCCTAATCCTGACCCCTCCCTGAAGAGGCCTCTTATCACAGACTAGTTTTGCCTGGTTTTGGATTCTGCATAAATGGGGTCTATCTTATGCAGTGGTGCCTGGTTTCTTTGGTAATGGTATGTTTGCTGGGCTTCATCCACATTGCTGTTCATAGCAGGTATTTCATATTTTCTCACTGCAGTAGGATTTCCCATTGTACAAATAAACCACGATTTATTCCGCTATCTTCTGTTGATGGACAGCATGGTTGCTTACAATTTTTGGTTATTACAAACGAGGCCACCTGGCTTGGAGCGGAGTTGCTCCAACCTGTGATGGCCTGCCAACTGACCCCTCTGCCCTCTCTCCCATCTCTCTCTCTACACATTCATTCCATACATTATTGCTACAGAAGGTCTTTCTTAAACACAAATTTGATTCTATATTCCTGCTCAGAGTCCTTTGATAGCTCTCTGCTGCCCTCTGTTCACTAATGTACCACCACTTAATTACGTTGCAACTCTCCCAGCTCCAAGATATTTCAGTTCTTTGAATATATCATTCTCTCCAGCATCTTTACCCTGCATCCACTGTTCTCCTTCACTGGAAAACACTTCTGATTCCTGCACATCCTTCAAGCTCACTGCAACCTCCTTCCGGGCATCATTCACCAGTCTTTTGGCCCCTGTTACGAACTGGAGGTGGCTACTCTCCCCTGTGCTTCCAAAGCAATGTCTTGGTTTTACCATGGCAGCTCTCAAAGTGCTTATCTGCTTACTCCTCTGATTCTCATTCTACCTCCTGAACACTCCAGAACAGTGGCTGACACATATAGGATGCACCATGTGTTTGCAGAGTAACATGGGTGCTAACTGCATATGAAAGAAATTACAGTTTACATTTAACTGAGGGGAAAAAAGCACAGTACTAGTGAGAAAGTGTCAGTGTGAACCTAGAGGGGACAAAACTGGCATTCAAGTATCTTAAGGTCAGTAAAACGTTGCATTATTGATGGAATAAATGTTAAACCTTATCATTAAAGATGCTACTGTGAATATTACACTATATTGTAAAGTTCTTAAATATATCCTAAGTCAATACCTAGAGAAGGAAAACTATTGTTTTAACCTACAATTTGTGGCTTCCATGTGATCTCAAATAAAACATATATATATATATATATATATTTTGGGGGGCAGGGGTGTGCCATGTGGCTGCAGGATCTCAATTCCCTAACCATGGATTGAATCTGGTCCATGCAGTCAAAGCCCAGAATCCTAACCACTAGGCCACCAGGGAACTCCCAAATAAAACATTTCATTTAAATAATTTTAGAAATATTAGTTTTAAAACAATTAGTGAAATAAAATGTGCAAGTAAATCACACTTATGAAAGAGTAGACAGAAAAATAATTGCAAAAAATGTCTAATGTTGTTCAGAAATGGCAAAAAAAATCAATGTAGGATAAAATTCTCCTGACACGGCTCTTTCTCAACACCTTATCACGTAAGCAAAGCTTCTCCCTCTCTAAAAACAAATTAATCAAAATAGGCCAAATGTCACCAGTCAAGAAGAAACACAAGCACCACCCTACAAACTAAGAGGGTTTTTAAGAAAAAGAATGTAAGGAATCTAATGAAATCAAAACAAAGGAATTGATAAAAGTAAATAGCACAGACTTCTCAAGCCATTTTCAGATTCTGGTTTATGAACTATCTATCTGAATAACTTAAGATTATGGAGATAAATAAACCCATAGACAGGCTGTGGTTAATATCCTTTCCCATTTCATAGCCTGGAAAATATAGAGTAAATACAGCACATGCTCTTTACCCAACTGTTCCTTCAAATACATTATTTGTTTTCTCAGTCAGCAAGTTCTTAAATTTCTATGTTTAGCTTCTTTAGGTAGGGAAAAGATAAACAGACCTTTCTGACTTATATTATTTCAGGATAGAATGAACATATACCTCATCTCATTTTTAAAACTAGACTCTAAAAATGCCAAAACACCCACAAAACATCACACACACACACAAATTCATTATCTTAGTGTGATTCTGCCATAATTGAAAAGTTAATTATGTTTTAGGTATTTCGAATTTGTAAGAGCAATAAGTATTTTTGTAGAGCATCCAACGAAATTACAAACTTGTACCTCATGCTGAGAAGACAGATCCAACACATCGAAGCATCAGAGAGGAGACATAAAGCTATAAAACTCACTCATGTATATGCTAATTATCCCTTAAACAGCTTCTCTTTAGAATTACTGTAAAAATTTATATTGGGTTGTCCTATACTTTCACTTTAAGACTGACCTAGACAATTAGTATTTTAGATCTAGCAATTTATATTTTAACACATGTATGTGTGTATGACGCTTTCCCTGGTGGCTCAGGTAGTAAAGCGTCTGCCTGCAATGCAGGAGACCTGGATCGATCCCTGGGTCGGGAAGATCCCCTGGAGAAGGAAATGGCAACCCACTCCAGTACTCTTGCCTGGAGAATTCATACATGTGTATACACACACGTATGTATGTGTATGTATTTATGTATATATACATGTATCTATTATTCATATGCACATACATTCACACAAGTGCCCGTGTACACATATACACACTCTGTTTATAGCTTAAACTAGAAGTCAGGATACCCCCTTCTTCAAAACTATTAATCCTGTAAACACACTGCATGCTCATTAATTAATGAATTACCCAGTAGATAACTGTTCAAATTATATAATCACCCAAAGTTGAAGCCAGGAGATTTATGCATTTCTGATTACTTAAATTTCCACAAACCCATAATATTAATCTGAATTCCCAAAGGAGCAACTGTATGAATCTCTAAGGAATAAATTAAACAATGAAATACTCTAAAAGCTGTATATATGAAAACTAATGTAAAAAAACTCATGGCTTGTGTTCAATGTGATGGATAACAATATATTCAGGAGAGAAGATAGATTATTAAATTTTGAAATAATATGAAATTCCTAAAATATATGAAATAACTATGAATTTCAATAACTATGAAAAAATCATACAGAATAAAACTATGCTAATCATGGTCTAAAAAATGAAATAAAATACACTTGTTAGTTCTATACATTCGGTGCTCAGAAAACAATAAAAAGTCAAAGTCCAATAAAGAGTCAGCAGTTACCTCATTAATAAAAGGGGAATCAAGGATTGATTCAAGACCTAAGGAGTTTACTCTCAGATGGCGGGGGTGGGGGGGAGTGGAATAGCGGTNTGGGGTTGGGACTAAGGAGGTTTCTGCATTGTAACACAGGACAGATGATTTCACTGTCAAGAGGTGTCTTCAGCACTAGTAGGTGCTGAAGCATTAGTAGAATTCTAAATTTGGACTCCTTTTGAAAATTTTCCCACTGTTCAAAATTTACCTAATAGTGGCAAAATGATTAAGAGAATGAAGCTGCGAAGTTTTTTTTTTTTAACTGCATAATCTATTTATTAACACAATGCCCACACATTGTTTCTTCTTGGACACACCCACAGTGCGACCACGGCGGCCTATGGTCTTGGTGTGCTGGCCTCTGACGCGAAGTCCCCAGAAGTGGCGCAGCCCCGTGGGCCCGAATCTTCTTCAGTCGCTCCAGGTCTTCACGGAGTTTGCTGTCTAGACCGTTGGCCAGGACCTGGCTGTATTTTCCGTCCTTCACATGGGATCGTGTATTGGCGTGGATTCTGTATAATGGTGATCACACGTTCCACCTCATCCTCGGTGAGCTCTCCTGCCCTCTTGGTGAGGTCGATGTCTGCCTTCCTCAACACCACATGAGCATATCTTTGCCCCACACCCTTAATTGCAGTGATGGCAAAAGCAATTTTCCGCCGCCCATCGATGTTGGTGTTGAGTACTTGCCAGATGTGCTGGAACTTCTCAGGGATTACTAGAGACATGGCGGCAGCCCCAGAGGCGGCATGCAGGCCTCCAGTGGAAGAGCTGAAGCTGCTAATTTTTTATCCAATCACTTGTGCTTAGCTGCTGCCGCTGCTAAGTCGCTTCAGTCGTGTCCGACTCTGTACGACCCCATAGACGGCAGCCCACCAGGCTCCCCTGTCCCTGGGATTCTCCAGGCAAGAACACTGGAGTGGGCTGCCATTTCCTTCTCCAATGCATGAAAGTGAAAAGTGAAAGTGAAGTCGCTCAGTCGTGTCTGACTCTTAGCGACCCCATGGACCGCAGCCTGCCAGGCTCCTCCGTCCATGGGATTTTCCAGGCAAGGGAACTGGAGTGGGCTGCCATTGCTTTCTCCGCTGTGCTTAGCTACTGAACCATAAATCTTACATTATGGAGAGAAACAATGTGCTAAATTCCTTTTTAAAAAGTAAGAATACTATTCATAAATGGGGTTATTTGACATTAAAAAAAATGTACTGTCTTTAAATATTTCATCTTTGGCTTGAAAATATCCCTTATTTTTATAGACCCTAAGCTGGAGAGCTTTCCTTTCTGTCCTTTCCCCTTTGCTTTTGTATGACCACATGTTTTCTGTACCAATCACTTAGGAGAGAAGTGAGCTCTTGTTTTAGAGTGTCGCTTGTCTATTTAGCATTCCTTTTTGAGTTTCAAGATGTATGGAACAATAAATGTCATTTAATGCTGAAAAAAAAGTAAGAATACTAATATGTTTAAAGTTATTATTCAAAATTAAAAACACAAAAACAATGTGACTATTACCAAAAAACAAAACAAAAAGGCCACTGTTTAAATGAATCCAACACAAATTTGTGGAGAGAATAATCAAAGTCAAGGAAATAAAATTATTTTAAACATACAGTGTGATTCCCATGCTCTTTGTTAATCATGGTACCATCGGGATCAGACATTCAGCAACATCTGATTATACACAAAAGACACAAATAACAAATATTCTTTTTTCTCTTTATAGTTACTCATTAAATCTAGGCAAATTAGTTGATTTCTCTAAATTAAGCCAGTAGTTATAATTTTTTCCCAGGTGGTTTAGTGGTAAAGAATCCACCTGCCAATGCAGCAGATGCAGGAGACATGGATTCGATCCCTGGGTCAGGAAGATCCCCTGAAGGAAAGAAGGAAAATGGCAACCTACTCCAGTATTCTTGCCTGGAAAATCCCATTGACAGAGGAGCCTGGCGGGCTGCAGTTTGTAGGGGCACAAACAGACACAACTGAGCATGTATAATCTTTATCTAAATAAATCCATTCAAGAACTAAACAGCAAGTAAAAGCAAAAGGCACCCTTTCAACTCTCAGGCCACAGGAAGATTCCTTTGAAGGTAACAGGCTAAGAGCACTGACATGAAATCATACTATTAGAAAAATTGGGAGCAGATGACATGGAGATCATTAATTACTACTGCTGTTTACAGACCATGATGTTTTAAACGATTGACCACAGTGTGGGAATCATTAAACCTCAAGATAATACTTTTTTTACCCTGAAAGATTCAAATAGTGTTGATAGTGTTAGATCACTTATAAAGTTAGGCAAGGCAGTTATCATGATGACTTTGTTAATACCCCTTCCTACCACCAAAACCAAAACAAAACACACCAAAATATAGCTGGTTAACTAAACTGTTTAAGAGTTCAGTTAATAAGAACTCAGGTTTCTAATCTTCAGTTCTCTAACTGCCAGCCCTAATAGAATGTACCATAAAACTCGCCATTCAGACCCCTATCATCTCCCCCAATTTATCACAAGGAAACTATAAGCAGATGAATCAAAAGGCCACCTACACCTGCCTACAAAACCAAGGAACAGAGATTGACCTGCTTACTTAGCAAAGCTAATTCTTCTGGAAAATGCTGTGAAAGTCCCCTTCCTGACCTTTGGAGCCTGATCCTGAGCAGTAGGCTCAATTTCACTGGCGGAGGAACCTCACAGGTAACCCACAGCCTTGGATCCTGTTTCCAGCTCAGTCATGAGGAAATCCTATGATGTTCCTCCCAGTCCTGTGATTCCAATACATCACGCTCCAAGTGCCATTAACGTAGTTTTTAAAAGAAAAGACAACTCAAAACACACTTGAAGAATATAAATATTTTCTATGGAAAAAAAGAAGTCCTACAATCATATAGGAAGAATGAACATCTGTGAATGTTCCACAAATCTCTAAGTAGAAAATGTTCCACAAATCTCTAAGTAGAAAAAACTAACAGAGACCTGAGTGATAGGAAAGGTTTGTCTCTGAAAACAAAGGAGTAATTTATCAGGTCAATAAATTCATTGTGAAGACACTAAAGTCAAATTAAATAAAACCAACAAGAGACAAAGCGATGTCCTAGTTTTGTGTGCTGGGAGATGAGGCTTCACTGAGCACTAATTATATCTGCTTGGAAATGAAGCAAATTAAATATGTTCCCTTTTAAATGGGCTTAAAGAAAAAAAAAACACTTTGGAAGAAGAAAGCATTTTGAATTATTTTCCCAAATTAATTTTGGGAATTAAAGAGTAGGTTATACAAGTAATTTTTTTTTTTCCCTTAACATGCCCTGGGTAACAGTGATGAAAGTGTATATTGAAGACATATTTAAAAAACAAATATCTAGTTCTATAGTTTTGAGCTCTCCAACATGCCTCAGAAGCTGGAGTTCTAAACACAAAGTATAAAAAACACATAAGTAATTATGCAGGGTCTGCGCTGCTCAAAATTAAAGGAGAATGTAAATGCTTTCAGGAAACTGTCAAAACCACATATTTTAGCTTATTTGTCTTTGTGGTCTTCATTGCTTTTTTAAAAATGGTCTCTTTCCAAAAGGGTTAGGAAGCTCTCCTTTGAGACTTTGATCCTGAAACAAAGCTTCACTCTAAAAGTGTAACAGTAGAGAAGACATTATTCAGAGAGCAAACTTTTATTATGTGGCATGAGTTCATCTCAAGCACATATATAATACTATGCATGGCTTGTTTACAGACAATCACAGGCTTGGTATGTTAAGTGACAGTGGAGACATGTAGGTTAGAAAGACAATATCCCAAAGAGCAAGTGAGATCCTAAGTATACACACATCACAGGCACTCAAGTTCAGGTCAAGAATTGAGTTGGGCCTAGTTTAATTTACAATGAAGTTGGCTGGGCCATTACTTTCCTTTAGTCTCTGACTCTTGGGAAAGTGGTGACCTTTAGAGGTAGCTTTTGATTTTAGGACACGACCACCCTTCTGAAGCTCTTTCTCTGCATCCAGCTTCCTTCTCTGTCTGCATTCATGAACATGTACATGCACACCTCCCCGCTCCCTCCCGCCCCAGCCAACCACCGCAAGTTGTAGAGAAGCCCCCTGAAGTAGTCAGGGAGGCTATGAAACAGATTCGCTTTTGAAAATAATTACCTGCATTTACTGTGCTAACCTTATCAGTTCAATGCTAACCCGACTGCTGGTTGTCTAATAAAAAAATAAGACATTTATTAATCTTTGCTAAACAATTTTCTATTTATTCCCCAGTTACAATTTTCCACTTTAGAAAAGAGAAGTCCTTGTCAAAAGGTTTGAGATGAATCTATACAGTGAGTCATAGATTTCCCCAAAATGCGCTGCACAGAGGTATGATTTACAAAGAATATTCAGATGGTTGCTATCACCAATGAACTAAAAATTCATTAAGACAGTTGTTTCTAACTCTTGTCAAAATGTGGGTACAGAAACAAGAAGGAATATCATGGAAACCACAGAAACCTTTGAAGATGCCTGACATAACCCAAGTTAAATGTAGATGTACAAGGCAGCACCAACTTTCTGAACGTTCTGGTCTCCATATTAAATTGAGAGGTTGAGATCGCTTCTCGCCTTTGTTTGCTTCCTATTTTTCCTTGCTGCCAAGTAAAAGAAGCGAATTTAACAAACTCTGAGGAAAACACGGGCTTCCCTGGCGGCTCAGCAGTGCCAGGCTACTGGCTTTCATTCTCCCCTAACTAGTCGGTTTTAACACGCTCTACTCCAGAGTGACATTCAGAGCTCACTGAAGCACACACGCTACATCACCAGGCACAACCGCTTCTCCACCTTCTGTTTTAGGGCCTCTCCACTTACCTGGGGCTTCCCAGGTGACTCTGTGGTAAAGAAGCCGCTTGCCGAGGCAGGGCCGCAGGTTCGATCCCTGGGTCGGGAAGATCCCTTGCAGAAGGAAGTGGCTACTCCAATATTCTTGCCTTGGAAATCTCATGGACAGAGCCTGGTGAGCTACAGTCCAAGGGGTCGCAAAGAGTCGGACACAACTAAGCATGCATGCACACGCATCTTGCTTACTATGGTCGTTCTTTAGCAGTAATTACACACATTTAAAAGGATGTGGCCCTGGAGATCATCTGGGTCAGGGTTTCTCTGTTTTCCAGCTCTGACACCACAAGGACAGGATACTCAGCTTCCATGAATACAGTGGCCAAGGGCTGAGGCAGGGGGATGGGAGATGTGTCCACTGAGGCAGGAAGGAATAGCCCTATGCTTACCTAGGATTCATCACTCTCACTACTCCAAAAAGTAAAACTTTTGAGTGGGAATGATCAAACAAGTAATTCTCTTAGAAGATTACTCATGATTATTTTCTGATAGGCTAAGTAATGCCAGGTCCTCCAGCATTTACTGTCTGCACTTCAAATTCAGAAAACTTTGCAAAACTTCCTGTAACTTTATTAAAAAGCAGAGGGGAAGGGGAGGTGAAGTCAAATAAGGGTGAGACATGGTTCAAATACAGCAAATTACTTATTACATCTTTTCTATGTAATATACCCATTAAAATTTGTGGCACTGGATTAAGAACTGTTTTAAAAGACCATCTAACTAAAAACCACACAGCAGATTCACCAAGAAGCTACAGAGTTGTTTTAATTGGTCTGTTGTAAACTGTTCTTACCTTTTCAGGTATCTTCTCTGTATTGAAACAGTTTGGTTTTAATTTCTATGTGTATTAGTCGCTATGAACTTCTATCTTTGAGATT